TGGAACCTATGTTCTTGAAAGCTATTGATGGTTCAAGTGAATATAAGGACAAACATTATATTGCTAATTTAATTTTGTCTACTATTGATGAGGTTGGATCACAAAATGTTAATCAAGTCATTACTAATAGTGCTCCTGTTTGCAAGGTAGCTAGATCAACTATTGAATCTATCCATCCTCATATTTTTGGATACTATGTGTTGTACACACTTTAAATCTTGCCTTCAAAAACATTTGTGCACCAAAAAATACGCCAACTAATGAGGTTGTTTATAGTGAGTGTAATTGAATTTGTAATGTTGTTGATTATGCTTATTTTATTAAAAATTTTATAATGAATCATTCTACGAGACTAGCCATGTTTAATCAATTTGTGCATTTGAAGATACTTGCAATTGTTGAGATTAGATTTGCCTCAACCATTACTATGTTTAAAAGAATGAGAACTCTTAAGCATGATCTTCAATATATTGTTATTAGTGAAGAATGGTCTCACTATAAGGAGGATGGTGTTAAAAGGGCTGCAATTGTGAAAGAAACAATTTTAAATGATAGATGGTGAGATAAAGTTGATTATGTTTTAAGTTTTACAAAGCCTATTTATGATATGCTAAGTTCTTGTGATACTAATAATTCAAGTCTTCAATTAGTTTATATGAAATAGGATTCTATGATTGAGGAAGTGAAGTTAGTAATATATCAACAAAAGGGTAAGGAGTTAAATTAACATTCATCCTTAATTGATAGATGGACTAAAAGTTACACACTTCTTCATTGTTTGGCTCATTCACCCAATCCTTGATAAAATTTAATTAATTTACTCCTTTTATTTTATTTACTTTTTCTTTCAAGTTTCAATTGACTTATTTATATACTTTATAATTTGCATAGTAAGTATTATTGTAGACAATGGCTTGAGGAAGCTTCAATTCAAGTTCCACAACATAAGGATAATGAGGTTTGCATAGAGAGAAATAAATGCTTAAGAAGTTACTTTTCAAATTTGAAAGAAAGGTTAGAGGCAACTACCGAGTTTGTTAAACTCTCAAGTGCTTTTGAAAAGCTTGGCCAATTTAATTCTTTGCAAGATAGGTGAAACATAAAATCAAAAGAATGGTGGGTTATGTATGAAGTTGCAATTTTCAAATTTAAGTTCATTGTCTTGAAGCTTCTTTCACAACCATGTTCTTCTTATTGTTGTGAAAGAAATTGGAGCATTTATTCCATTATCCACTCTTTGAAAAGAAATTGGCTTAATCCTAGAAGAGTTAAAGACTTAGTATTTGTACACACAAATCTTTATTTTCTCTAAAAAAAAAAAAGTAAGAATTATACTAAGGGTGAGACTAGAATGTGAGATATTGGTGGGAGATGAATGAGATCTACTTGAATGTGTCAGAATTCTTGAAATTACTAGTCTTTCTCTTGATAAATCAAATTTAGAGGCGATTATTTTTACTGGTGATAGAGAAGAAAATAATAAGATTGACACTATTAAAATTTAATTTTCTTAATTATGCTTTAGTATTGTTATATCAAACGATTTAAATATTGTAATTTTATATTGTAAAATGTTTTATTATCTTTGTGTACATATGCTTCTTTTATGTTATATAATATATGATATATTAAAATTTGTGTGCTTTTATTTTATATATATTTTTATTTTTTTAATCTACTTACTCATATCTTATTTTTTTAGAAAATGCTTATCTTGTATCCGTATCAGGTACCGCTACCGTACTCGTATTCACGCAACATAGCATTTATCATGACTCATTTGTAAGTTTAGAAACAAAATTAATTATATCATCAAACTATTAAATATTTTGGCACAAATTTCAAATTATGTTTATATATTTAAACTTGAGTATAAAGCTTTTAACAATATCCAGATTCTCTCCTGTAAAAGTGTGATTTAGATGTCTAGTTTTATTTTGTTTAAACAACTTTAGATTCATTTAAACGAATCTTTAAACTGCACCCCAAATTTCAGTAAAATTGAACTTAAATAAATTTTACTTAAACTTACTTAAACTTCTATAGAGAGAGCGTGTTCTTGGAGACGACAGAAGAAGGGTGTGTTATTGATCTGTTCTATGACTAAGGCATAGATTTGGATTTTCTTTGGTAACCCTGGAATTAGCTCCATGCGCTCATTGTTTTCTGAGTCCTTCGACCACCGTCATTCTGTTGTTCTTAGTTGAGAATGATTGGAGGTGGGTAGAGTGAGCTAAAAATTTGCGGCACATTCGTTTGAATGGAATTAAACATCGAATAAAAGTGAAGTGATTGAAGTGGAATTGGTTGAGAGTTTGTAATTGCTTTATAATTTTTAGGGATGAACGAGAGAGTTTGTGCGTAATAAGGAAGGGGTTTGTGCCCATGGCCAACACAAAAGTATGAATGATTGTGGCACCACACGAATGGACCGTTCGAATTTTTTATTTTAATTTTTCGGCAGATGCTAAGTTGATATGTTTGGGGAGGGTCTACTTTATGAGAGTGATGCATTTATGGCTACAGCTGTGTTTCCGGCAAACTCAAAAGAAGTAAGTTTTAGTATCGATAGAAATTAAAATTAGACGTCTACTTTGCGCTCAAAGGAGAGAATCTAAATCTCTTTTAACATATATCTAACAACTACAAGTACTAGTAAATTCGACGACCAATAACATTAAAGTAATTGTGGATTCATATCCATAAATGTGAAACCAAAACATGTATTAAATAATTTTGTAAAAATCAGCTTAGTAATTAGGAAAAAAAATTAGCTAATTAAATTTATTGCTTCAAAATGTAAAATGAGTTTGTTTATTTGGTTGCTTGCTGGTTTTGCTAGTTGCATTTGATGTTAAGTAATTGAGAGCTACTGCTATCGAGTTTCCTATGGCATGACCTGTCGCTAGAAGTTCACGTGCTTATTATTTTAGCACAGCATTTGGACATTATTCATTGATAGATTTGGCACGTGAATAAGAGAAATTGTATTGGTACAAAAATTTAAATTAAAAATAATATAGCAAAGAGAATGATTATAAAAACGAGAGAGAGAGAGAATGAGCAAGGTAAGATGATTAATATGTGCAAGAAAAAATAATTATAAAATATGCTGTACGAATAAATGATTTCATATATTTATAGTACAGCAATGTATAACAAAACAAGTCACTAAACAGGAGAAGTGATAAAAATCCCATCAATGAAATAAGATGTATCAATCAAACGTCTTTTATTTTTTAACTGACGAAATTGTTCCAAGTGTATGATAATGCAACATTCATATACTTTTTGGCATGTAATGAAAGATGGAAAATTAGTAGAGTCAGGAAGGTATGAGGGCCTCATAGCATGTCTCAATTGTGACCTTATTCAACAGTAAAATAAATAAATCCACGCCAAGAAGATTATTCTGTTGCCATGGATTTATTTGCTTTACTATTGAACTTTCACAATTGGGACATGATATGAGGCCATTGTCCCTTCCTGACTCCACTAATTTTCCATCTTCCATTAGCTGCCAAAACATATATTAACTTTGCGTTGTCAAACACTTGTAGTAATTTTATCACTAAAAGAAAAGTGATGGGTAACTTCCTAATATCAGAGGACCCATCTAGCTTCTGAGGCCCCAATACAGTTTTTCAAGTAAGCTAAATTTCTCTATTTATTTTTCACTTAAATATGTTCCAAATTTTGAGACTTAATTAGTTCATCATAGGTTGCAAGCCTAGTTCTAGTTTCAGAACATGACTCAGAAAATATGGCACCATTGGCAAGCACTCTTGAATAAACTCACATTTCTCACATACTGAATTTTATTTTTTCTTTTGCCACTTATCACATATAGCTCCTCATTTTATTTTATTTTTTGTATGTTGGATATCTTTTCAAAATAAAAATATGATTAAGAACAATAACTTTATGTGCATATGTAATTTTCTGTCAATTTTCCTTCATTCACCAAAAATGGACAAAATGACAAAAGAAAATACAAGTGAGGGAAAGGTGTAATGTAAACATGGGTTTGCGACTGTGCCATGTTATTCAGTCTCAAGGTATGACTATATGAACACAACACGGGGGACGCATACCTGAAAAGTGAACCTTAGATCATACTATCAGATTTACCAAACACCAACCAAAAATAGAAGTGTGATTGTCATTATCTCATGTGATAGCATAATTGTAGATTGAAAATATAATACCGCAGTAATGAGCAATAGATTAAGTTATGTATGTTCAATAACTTTGTCAGACAGAGAAAGAGAGAGAAGGATATGTGCCGTGATAAGGTGGGACTGCAACGATTGCATACTACAAGAAACCCAAAAAAAGTGTACAACACCCCATTCCCACTATATATTATAACCCAAGTAAAAAAAAATAACGATGTACCAAAAACTATATTTATATTACTAATGTTAGTGTGTGCATGTATATATAAGAAACGAAGAACCCAAAATCCACAGCTGTAAATGCATGTCCTTTAGTGGGAACTTGTCCCTCATATCTGGTGAAAATTGTGGCGTTTTGCTGTTTCTGGTCTTGTTTGTCTTTCATGTCATCTACTTGCGGTTCTCAGGGTTCTGATCCTTCTTCTTTAGAACAATTATTATATAATCTTGGTTTGTTGTATGAGTAGGGGCTCGCCAACCGAAGGAGAAGTGTTTCCCTTTTCGGGGCTCCTTCTTTTCTTGCACCTCTGCATTTTTCTCATTTGTCTTTCCATGTTCCATCACTTCAACAATATAAACAAATCCTAGCAAAATATTACTTGCTAGTTGTTATGGTATCATTCAGTTACTACTCATGTTTGCTACATCCCATTTCGTCTATTTCTTCAGTTACTAAATCCTATTTGTATTATCTCTAGTCTTATCCTCCTCTCTCTTCTTTCCCCATTGGAACCAAAATTTCATATTCTTTAGACTTCTCTCTCATCCATCACCTTCCCACACTTGCAAAAGTTTCATTCTTCCCCTAGTGTTCTCATTAAAATGGGGTTGGACCACCGTGTCATTTATGGTCAAAGGCTTGGCTTCATTTGCATTTCTCTTTTGTTTCTGATTATTTCAAGCTGGATCCAAAAGGGGCTTGTTGTTGAAGGTAAATGAGCAATTTTTAAAGCTGCCAGCTGCTACTTAAGTAGAAACAAACTAGAGCTAACGTTGATATTCTTCTCTATGTTCTAACAGGTAGAAAGACTCAAAAACAAAACGATTTTGACCAGGTAAAATTTGGCTTCTTTGTAATAGTATGTGTTCCTTTCTCTTTTGATTTGCTTAAGATAGACAAGAGAACACAAATTTTTACATGGAATTATGATGGTTTGTGCAGACAATAGTTGAGGATAAAACTATCCTGAGGTCACAAATAGGTTCAAGGCCACCAAAATGTGAGAGAAGGTGTAGATCATGCGGACACTGTGAGGCTATTCAGGTACCTACAAACCCCCAAGCCCAGAAGGGAAAGATAAACTCACCCAAGTTCTCTACAATTGCTTATGCCAGGGTAGATGGAAATTCCAACTACAAACCCATGAGTTGGAAGTGCAAATGTGGGAACCTCATTTTCAACCCTTAATCCGATTTACCACAATTTAGTTATTTTTACATAATCAAGGATACCAATTTGTCAATTCTGTACATGGATATACACTATTAAGTGATTCTTTCTTCTTTTTCTTTCCTACTGTTGTCCTCACTGTGAGGAACAAGCTTTCATCTAATGTATGTTGTACCTTACATCCAACATGCAGCTCGCAGTGTGCTATTTTACTGCTTTTGCTTCTGTTCTAATCATTAAATCGATCGACGGCAGCTTTGACTCTTTCGAATAGTTGTTTTCGGAAATTATGAGTCATAATTTATTTTATCAACCTGCATAGATCAACATGGTTGCTTTATGTTGTTCAATATTTCTAACATTTTGGGTACTCTTGAAATGCAAATGGAGAAGAGTGATGATTTCTCTCATTTTCATTTCTTTGTTTGAATATAAAATAATATAGGTGAACAAAAACATTAATGCCGCTAACATCCTCGGAAACTATCAACAGAGAAGTGATGAGAAGTCTGCTACTAGCATTCTGCTTTAGAATAAAAGGAAAATTTAATACAAGAGATCGTTATAAATTGAAATTTAAAAAGGATTCACTAACATGGCCCAAGCACCAAGAAAATAGAGAGAGAAAATTTTAAATTTAATTAACTTTTTTATATAAAAGCAAAAAAAAAATATCATTGTTTGGTTGTTTTATGTGAAATTTGAAAATGTTATATACTAAATTTTTGAAAGAATTACAGAAAAATAAAAATTTTAAAATCGTCATTAGAATTTGTATATAAAATTAGTTCATTTTATGAATGAAAATTTTTTAATTTAACTAATTTTTATTCATATAGCGATTTTTGAGTTCTAATTTTTGATAAATTTTTTAAAAAAAATTATATTTCGGGGTATAAAATTTTCAAATTCTATGTAAAAGAAAATTTTCTTCGTTGTTCGTATATTTTTCTGTTTTCTTTCAACGCATCCATACAGACTATCATATAATGCATGGCATGACCATGAGGTTAAAATCTAGTATCAGTACACTTAATTTTTGAAAATACAATGCCATGCCCTGCAGTACTCTCTTGTTTTTAGTTTTGTGTTTCTGATTGAGAAATTTTGCTGTCAGTACTTTCTGATTGCAGCCACCCCCTGCAATGTGCAATCAGAGGAAGCAACAAATAAAAAATTGACTTGCTAACCTTTGATTGTCCTCTTGATTTTCGTCTTTTATACATCCTTCCCAAACGTGAAAGAGATTGATTACTTGTTATCAGTTGTCTGAGTTGCTTCCATTTAGTTTGTTCATCTACACTGTCACATGCCGTTGAAATAGAACGGATAATGTATTTACCTTGTGGACCCTCACTACCTTGAAGAAATTTTTACATGAAATATTTATAGGCCACAAGTTTATTTTTTAAATATTTATATAAATTGATCCCCTCCCCCCTCCAACACACAAAAAAAAGTTGCGAAGCAATTTTTTTTCCTGGATGCTATGTAACAATTTTGGTGGGTAGAAAATGATTAAGCTGTAAATGTTTTAACCAATGCAATGGGACCATTGACACTATTCTGTGAGGTGCGTAACACGTCGAAGCTATTTAAGGCATGGTGATATAGCAACATAGGCTGGCTTATAGACTTCAGGCACCTGATCACTGATCACTGAAAGGAAACAGAGGATCTCCTCAAAGCAACCTAAGACTAGTGATATTCACAGTTAAATTTTTCCAATGGTATTAGACATTGGCTGCAGCTTTTCCAATAACGTGCTAGTGAACCTTGTGTGTACGTTATTAATGATGCTTATTATTGGAACTAAACCCAAGTTCTGAGATTTCTACCACTCAAAAATGACTAATCGATAACGAGTCAGGTGATGTAATATAGTTACCATCTTGTCTTCTATGCCGTTGATCGTTGATCGTTGATCGTATCGTTGCATCAACTGTATGAACTATAGCTTCCATCTTGTCCTCACGATTTTGGTGTTGAAACGATTGAATAGGTCGGGCTCCCTTAACTATAAATGTTTGACTTTAAATGAAAATTAAAAAAAAATAGTAAGTGTTTAAAAATACATTATAAATTCTTATTAAAAATTATAAATTTAATATATTAATAATATTCAAATTTATGATTTTTAATAAAAAAAGTTATTATTATTATTTAATATTTATTATTAAGTATACATTATAAAAATAAAAATGATGAAAAAGTGGATGGGATACTACGATACCATACGGAATGACAGATTGAAAATCTTGTGTAGAGAAGACTAAACAAGAGTAGTTATACAATGCCTTATGTACGAAATTCGCTTTCTTTCTTTTCTTTTAAATAGGAATAATAACAGCTCCGCCAATCAATTCGTGTTAGGTTTCATCGTAAAACAGTGAAATTAAATGTTAAGTTATTATCCTTAATGTTGATTTTTTATTTCGGCTTTATCAAGAAAATTAATAATTAGATTTATAGTTTAGAGTGTTGTCCTTAAAAAAATGAATAAATTTTTAATCTAACCTAAGTGCCTATTTAATAATTTTCTTAATACTAAAGTTTACTGATAATAATGATGATAAATATATTTAAAATAAGTCAGAGAATTTCTTTTGATAAGTTATATTACAAAATTTATTAAAATAAATTATAAAAATTTATTTTTATGTTATTCGTTATTTTTTTTGAACACATCTTAAATCTTTATTTTAGTCACTAAAATTGTAAATTTTTATCATTTTAATCCTCAATTTTATAAAATTCTTACTTTAATTTTAAATTTTACAAAAATAATTTATTTAATTATTTTTATTTATTTTATTAATATTTTGTATTTAAAACTTAAAAAATATTATTTTGTAAGGCAAAAAAATTAAGTAGAAATTTTTATAAAATTAGTATTGAAGTTACTGATGTTCACAATCTATAGATAATAGAATGGGAATTCATTCAAGTGTTATGCATGCTGCAATTTATTTGGTTAATTCGTTGATCTTTTCCTTCACTTAATTATATATTACAGTTTAAAAATAATTTAAATTATTTATTGATTAATTAAATTATATTAAAAAATTTAAGTAATTAATAATTAAAATGTAGTTTTATTTATTTTAAAATAAATTTAGATAAACTTGAAAGTTATCATTTTTTTAACTATGATAATTAATTATAATACTTTTAGGCTAGTGCACTTGCCAACTCAACTTAATGTGGATCAGACCTGTTTTTTTTCCAATATTATTTAAAGGGAAAGCTGAAAATAATTTCAGTGATTTTCTCATGATCAAAGATAGTAGCCACAAAACATTAAAAGGCATATTGTAAAAGCTTTTCTTTTCCGCCCCAAAACTTAAACAAAGAACCCTCTAAATAGTGTATGGCCTTCAAAATGAGGGAGGCAAACGTGAATAATTCTTTTCATAGTAAAAATTGTGGTTCAAACCTTTTGGGTAATTTCTAGTCTTATTTTATGAGTATCCCTCGCAATAATTGGTTGTATAGTGCAAATTGATATCGGAACTGATTGATTTATGCAGACACTTTTTCCTTTTGCACAAATATGATCAACAGCAGTATTAATATTGAAAACTTCATTTGTCATGAAGTAAATCAGAACCCTGTGTAGCATAGCTTCCTTTCTGTGAGCGTAACTTAATGAAAAAGCAACTTCGACACAGGTCAATGCTAAATGCTACATTTCAGTAACTATAAATAGGTATGGTTCGAGTGACACCAGCAACTTGAAATAAACTAAATTAATTTATTACAGCACATGACATGTTGGTGGATTATTTAAAAAAATTTCACTGCCACATTTCATGTATAATCGATATTTGTTTAAATTTTCATCGTTGATGATTAGACAACTAAGGACCACATAAAAGACTAACAATTTGACAAAAAGGAAGCAAACCATTCAAAGAATCATGATAAAATCGTCATGAATGTATGAGTTTTGTTAACCGATACTCTTACATTACTGCTAAGGAAATAAAAAATAAAATATTAAAATTACATTAGACTACATTAAAAATTATAAAAGGACGTGCATTAATAACATTTTTAAACTACTTTTTTCACTTTGATTCCTTAATAGGTGTCCTAGCTTATTAGAATTTGCCTGGAAAATCATTACAAACTAGGTGAAAATGACTTGGGAAAGAACAGAGCCTTTACGTTAAAAGTGAATATAGAAATAAAAAAACATATTCTGTTATCCTTGAATTGTAACACTCAAAGTTAATAACCTTAATGTAGGGTCACTAAGTGAATATCATGGATCAAACAAGGGGAAGAAGAATATGAGAGTACAGTGGGTGGCAGAAGTCACGTGAGGCAATGAGAAATGGGAGCCCCCATGAAGATGGTATGTAATAGTATCCTTCCTAGACTCAAAAAGATAAAAGAGAATGTTGGTGCAAAGGTCAAGACAGACTCCACTGAAAAGCTGAAGAAGAGGGACCACATCAAGAAAAAGGGATTCTGATTCTTTTTCTCTCATGCCTTTTACTTCAAGTTTTTTTGTGCTGTAAATATCAGCAACACGGTTTTGAGGTTGCCCCATCCCTGTGGCTTCGAAAAACTGCACTGCACATCACAAAACAAGTCATCCTCTAGTTCCAATCTGATGCTGATGGGCCTCATGAACCTGAAGCATCACTCAGTGATAAAGCCACATGATTGTATAACGCCTTTGTCAGGCGTTTTCGCCACCCTCTTCCCTATTCATTTTTATGCATTTTGGCCACTCTTGGGCCTAAAGCCTCTGTTGGCAATTGTATCTGCCAAATGCCAACACCACTTTACCCAGTACCCAATGGGCTTTCCCTTACCACAGATTTTTCCGTTATTTTCTTTAATATCCTATTTACTAACTTGGGAATTTTTTTTATACCTAGCATATAGATAATTGGTAAAGAAGGATTTTTTTGAACATGTTAAAATATTAATGTGTTTACCTATGTTTAAAGGAAAAATAATAACAATACAAGATAGAAAGACATTCAATGTCATAGTGAAAAGCTTAGAGGATGCACATAGCAACCCAAGCCAGGTTGCTAATTTTAGGACATGCAGAGTTGAAGAAAGGTGTGGGAGAAAGTGATTCAAGAAAAGCTAGAAATTATTGCTCCCTTGCTTTATTGGGAGGGGGAAAAGTTGAAGAAAATTCATGACTAGCTACCTCGTAACAAATGGTGCACCTTCTAACCTCACCAGGGTAAAATTTTAAGCGAAATATAAGCCACAGATACAAGATGTCTACAGTGTCAGCCTCAATCATTGTTCTGCGAGTGAGATTAAAAAAAAAAAAACACTGTTTTGCAAGCTGTGTTAGTCTGGGAAAATTATGTCATGGCAAAAATCACCATGTTTTGCAAGCTTCCCTAATCTGTTTATTATGGTCCTAGCTTGACTTGTAAACCCAGGATAAGTAAAAACTAAAAGCTGATCAGGTGTGTTTGGAACTTTCGGAGGAAAAGAGAGGGCAGAACAAGTTTTTTTTTATTTTAATCAATATTCTTTAATTCTATGTTTTTATAAAATAAATGGCATAAAATGATAAATTAGTATAAATTTAATGTATTAATCTTTTATTTACTTTAATAAATATTATATCTTTTAAATTTTAAAAAAATATTTGTGCTCTTTCTTTTCTTTGAAAACTTAACTTCCAAACATATTCTAAGGAAAAAAAGATAAAGGCTAAAATTCTAAGACATACTACCAAAAATTTTCTGGGATCGACACAAACTGAACTTAGATTCTTAACAGCTAATATATGTCTTTATCTGTGTTAGTTCTCAGATAAGTTAACAGTGACAGTAGAACACTACCATAAAATCATCGTGTTCGCATCACAATTTGCACTTTCATATTATCCACACTAAGAAAAAACTTCTCAAAAGAATTGAATATCTTTCTTTTTGGTATAATGCCCAAGCCTAAAAAATTGAATATCTATATTGCCCCGGATCGATTTTGGGCCCCAAGCATAAAATACTAAGAACTGTAGCCTCCAACTAGCCCAATCAGCGTTATAGTCCTAACTTCTAACGTACCACTGTGGTGGGTATGAGGGACAAGTCCAGGACATATCAAAGAAATAGAGGATGCAACTCAGAGAGAAACATTGCGCCCGAAGAACAAGAAGGGAGTTAATTCTGTTTGAAAACATGTCAAAATATCTATAAACATAGAATTAATTAAAGATGGTTCTACAATCACTCAAATGCGGAACCAAATATGTTAGAAATCTTATAGTACTTTGTTAATCTGTGTATTTAGAAAATTGGTTAAGAGAATAAAAGTAAATTATTTTTTGTGTTAAAAATAATGTTGAGATGCTTTAAAAATTACATGAAAAATATATTAAAAATATCTTTTTATAAAATTTTATTTTCTAATTTCTGCCCACAAGTTATTGATTAGCATTTGCCAATTTTATCAATAAAGAGAAGGAACAAATAAGTATCAAATTTCAAGCAAGTCAACAATGCTAAAGCAAATGGAAGAACTCAAAATACCTTGTGAAAGCTTAGCAATATGGTTTAATTGAGAAGTCGAAAGCTTTGTTTAGTGTAAGCTATGGAATCTAGGTATCTATCTGTCCATGTGTAGATGTTAGTGATTCAAAGTTGAATTCGTAAAATGTTCCACGTCAAGTATTATGATAGTAGATTAATAATTCTTAAATAAATGATATTGTTACTTGTAAAATAAAATTTAAATTCAATATTTTTTATGGCCTCTCTAATTAAAATTATGCTTTAAATATAATGAAAATGTTACTTTAAAGGTTAATATTAGTTATAAACGTAAGATTTTAATTTTAATTAGAAAAATATCATAAAATATATTTAAAATATTACACTTAAATTTTGTCTTTATTTTTATCTTCTATAACATTTTACATATATACTTTTTCATAGAAAAAACTTAGTTGCAACTTGCAATTTGCTTATGTAATTTTAGTATTATATTTCAAGTAATATTAGAATTTTATCTTAATAACTTACGATTATTTTAAATATCAATTATTATTAGGCAAGTTATTAAAGGTAAGCTCTAATTTTTATTATAAATATATCAATATTACTTTTGAAAAAATTATATCTAAGTTTTATTCTCTCTAAACATTCATACATCCCTAAAATAAAAATTTAAATATTTATTTATTTCTATCATATTAACCATCTTATCTTATACTTGCCTTCTTTTTCTTCATATTAAAAAGAAATTATAATACCGTTTTGTGGTACATTTCATTAAAAAAATAATTAAGATCAACAAAAAAATAATTATAAATTTATATTTTATATAAAAATATTCATAACATTAAATGACTAAACTAATAACTTATATATTAATACAAATCACACAATAAAATAAAGATATAAAAAATTAATAATTAATATATTTAAAATATAAATATATATTTCTTGTAATTAGGACGACCAAAATAATTCTTATATATTTCTCAATTACTTCATGAAGGTGGCAGCCAGAACCTGTGGAACAGCACTGCGGAAACAGAGAACAAGAAAGCTTGCATTCTGAAAAAAAATTAAGATCCTCAGCAGAAAGAAGTTACAGTGTGTTCGACTAAGTGTTTGTAAACTTGAATTTAAATTAACTTGATTGTGTATAATTAATTTTATTTAAAAATGAGTTTAAAATAACGTAATTTATGTTTTTTTAAATTTTTAAAATAAATTTATAACAAAATGCAAATAAAAATTTTAACTCAACATAGAAACTATAATTTATCATATTAGTTTAAGCATAAGATAAAATTAATTGTAATAAAATACCTAAATATCAATATATTTTACAAAATCACGTGATAATTAAATAAATGATTTTACAATAACTTAACTAACATTCAGACGTGCATTTAGTAATATTTTACTACATCGTCATTGTCTAATTCTCCTTTATTCAAGTCTCAAGATATAACAAATAATATATATACATGTAAGAAGGATTTTCTTATAGTCGTGTAAAAAATTTTACATCTAACCTAAATTTTTTATTTAACTTAAATTTAATTAAATAAAAATTTTAAATTAGATGTAAGAATATCTTTATATATATATATATATATAAATAAAAATTATATTTGTCAAAATCAATATAAGCATCTGATAAAGCACAATTTTCAGCTGATTACTGAGGGTTACTGAGGCCATAGGTGCATTTTATTGAGGACACTAACGTAAATTAAAACTTTAAAACAGCGGATGCTGCTGCCTCACCATGCTAACCTATAATGATGCACAGAGAGCATAACACCCCTTGGAGCTTCATGTTTCGCAAATTGCAAAGATGTAAATTTTTTATTTTTATTTTTTTTGTAAAGATAATAGTTAAGATAATGTGTTCTTGTTCTTTTTTGGTAACCGACATCCTCAACGGTTAAGATTCGTAGAATGCCACGTGTCGCGTTTGGATCCAGCAAGGAAATCCACTGTGCTCGTGGTTTTTCCTCCTTTACGATGACGGTGCTCTTTATTTATTTTCCAAAGAAAGTGTCGTTTTAGACTCGATTTTAAGTTTTTAACTTTGAGTGAGAAAACAGTTAAATAAATTGACATATATATATATAATTTGTGTTTCAGATCCGTCGTTTGTTTACTTGCTATAAATAAGTGAGAATTTTAGTAAAAACAATTCTTAAATCTGTTTTTCTATATATTGCATTCGCGTTCCAGGGAAGGGATCAGATCCAGAAGCATGACACTGAGAGAAAAACTTCAAAACCCAGTTTTTGTTATCTCTTATTCATTCCTCTAATTCTCATTGGAGAGGAAGGGCATGCTGCGCTGTCCCCATCCCAGAAAAAGGATACGTCTTTGTTGAATACTGAGTATCTGCAGGCTCAGTTCTTTTCAGGTATGTATGTAATTGTGATTGCAATGTTATATGGGAATCTTCTTCAACTTTGGTGCAGATGGAACTGCTAACTCAGTTATGTTGTTTTAAGCTTGTATAGATCTGTGTGGATGTGTGAATGAATGTGCCATCAGCATTTATTTTATTTTATTCTTTTTTATGGCCACACACATGTTCATTTTGTTGATCTGGATATGGCTATCGGATATCCATGTGCTGTTTTGCTTTTTATATCTTGTTCTGCTATTAATTCGAAATTAGGATATGTATGTATAATCTTCTACTTGTAAAAATGAAGGTATTTTATGATTTATTGATGAATGAGTTGCAGATGTGTGACCTGGTATTTTATAAACCTTGGATAATTTAATATTACTAGTTTAACTGATAAAATGATATTTGGTTATCATATGAGCAATATATAGATCAACCCCTTCAGTTATCTAATATTATATGTGGATCTTAAATTTGCAGTTTTTTTTCCTCCGTTGTTCTGTTCCTCATCAGTTATTTTGAGTAGCTATTTGTGATTTTGTGAGTCCTTGATAAAATCAATCCTCATGCAGGTATCTAGGAAAGAAGAAAAAATTTGTAGGCTGAGGAATTTTCAGCATGTTCAGGTTATCTCCACGGAGGAGTCAAAGATCCAAAGGCTTCAAAGTGAAGCATGCTCTACAAATATTTCTTCTGCTTGGCGTTTGTATCTGGCTGGTTTACCAAATCAGACACTCTAATGAGAAGAAATCATCCTACCAACAAAGCACAAAAGCCAGCAATGAGGTTGTCAAGTTTGGGAGGAAGGACCTCCATCCTCACTTGGAGAAAACTTCTGTTGTAGATGCAAGGTACAAGGAGGAGGAGGATGATGAACAAGAAAGCAAGCATGAAGAGCAAAACAAACTGGAGGATGTTAATGGTGTGGAAGATGAGGTCCCAAAGCATGAGCAAAATAACAATGAAGACAATTCAGAGCATAGGCAAGATTTGGTAGACCAAGAAACTGAAGAAAATTCTGAAAATGCTAGGACAGACATGGAAGGTGAACAGCATAGTGAGAAATTTGATGAAGAGAATAACAATATGGACAACAAGGAGGGTGACAGTACAGTGAAGGAGATTGAGGAGAAAAAAAGTGAAGAGGAAGACAAAGAAACTGGAGAAATTAGAGATGAAAAGAGTCAGCAAGAAAATGAAGAGATAAGCGACACAGATGCTAAAGATAAGGAGAGTGAAGAGGTAAACCGGACCAAAACTGAAGTGAAAGACAATGAGGAGGAAAATCGTGAGCAAGATAGTAAAGAAACAATAGATGAAAGCAATCAAACAGAATCAGAGAGAGAAGAGCATGACAAGATTCAGGAAGAGATTTCATCTGAAAATCAGGTTCAGGATGGGGGGAAAAATGAGGAAGAGCATAGAGAGGAAAATTATTCAGGAGATAATGCCTCTAGTGCTGTAGACCATAAATCGCAAGACACCTCGGATGAAAGTTCTAAGACAGCAGAACAATTTGATCAAAATGAAAAGAGTGACTTGGAGTTGGAGTCTCAGAAAAATGGTACTGAAACTACTGAATTGACCGATTCTACTGTCACAACAAACAGCCAAGGAAATGATCCTGAAAATCTGGCACAAACAGAGAATGATTCCACATCAGAGTCAGATGGGCAGCAGCAAGAGCAGAATAACCCCGCAAAGGATGATGTAGAAACTCTAGATTCATCATCTTTGCAGAATAAGAATGACACAACATCTCATACAACTGAAAAGCAGAATGAAGCTTCAGAAAATGAAGAGTCCAAGGTGGAGGACTCGAGCATGAAGAATACAATGCCAAAAACAGAATATTCTAACTCTGATACCACTGGGGAGGAGGCTGAAACCCATGATAGCAATGTAAATAATGGTGAATACAAGGACACCACGAGTAATTCGGTACAGAATGAAAAGCCCAACAACCAAGAAGAAACGCAAGAAAATGTTTCATCATACAATACAGTTGACAGCAAAGATGCTAGTCATGAGGTTCAACTCACTTCCTCTGATACTTCCTCTGACCAAAAGAAAGATGAATCCTTGCGCACACAAAATAATACCGACTCTCTGCAGGATGAGAATGTAAACTCTATTCAAAGCGACACAAACAGTGATGGAAGTGATAATGACAACAAAGATTCTAGCCAGGTCAAAACCTCCGATGCTTTATTTGAACAAAACAAAGAGGGATCCTCAAACCCAGAGAACTCAAACAGCAATGAAAATGCCAGTGACAATGGGAATGCAAATCATGATACAAAAAACAATGCTTCTGATTCATCCTATTCTGAAGAGAGAGATACATCATCAAATAATAATGCTGATGCAGGACAGGGTGAGAATGAGACCACTGGTCAGAGTAAGATAAGAGAAAATGAAGGGGGTGCTCAAGATGAATCAACGGAGTCACAAAATGAGAATGGATCTGCACACTCTGATGGAGATAATCACAACTCTAAGTGGAATGATCAAGGAAGCTCTGATCCTTCAATCACTCACGATGTTAAAGAATCTCGCATGGATTTGGGAACTTTGCCAGAAACCAATGGTGAAAGCAATCACAATGAGGTTACTGCTGCAGAGTGATAATTCAAATAGAATAATTGTATTGAGCTTCTACTTCTGATCCTACTTCTTTTTTTCTAATTTTGATGAGCCATGTATTGTTGTTGTTTAGTTGGCCATTGTGCTATCAAGTTTTTTTTGTTTTCACAGGGTCAGATTAAAAATTTAGAATGACCTAGGCTTTTATTTGTGTAAATCATTTGCTATTCTTCGTATGTAACCCGGATCCTATTATCGAAGCAATAATGATCACTTTTTAAATATCATCAAAGCGAAGTTCCTTCTCTTTAGTATTTAGACTCTGCCTGCATTTTTCACTTGTTCGGTGAATGAGCTCATAATGCATTTTGCATCTCTAAAAATATGGAAAGGAAAACAGGGAAAAAGAAAAGAAAATCTTCCCTAATAACCATAGCTGAGCCTCATTGATATTTGAGTAAAAAATCAGAGAGAGTTGAATTGAAAATAACATTGGATAGGATAGAGTTTGTTCGTCTTTCACTAGGTCGATGGCACCTCAACAGCTTGCAGAATGGAAGGATGATAGAGCTATCATAACTGCTGCAAGCTAAATGTCACTTGGCATTTGGAAAACAGTCGCACACAAGGAAAAGAGACGAATATGGATTTACCGGTAATGATTTGATATTTTAAAAAGTTGTGTTAACAATTGTATTCCATATTCATAAACTAAGACTAAGAGCTTTTTGTTTCTGTTTTTATTTTTAATTTTATTTTTTTTAAAGGAGGATAAAAATAAAACTTATGTTAATAAATAAATTCTTTTCTTCAAAAAATTATTTTTAACTACAAATTTTTATTTTTTTCCCTTTTAAAAATAAATTTTCAAAAAGTATTATTTATTTTCAGAAGTTAAAGTTTTAGAATTTAATTTTCAGTGGAAAAAGCAATCACTACTACGTGTTTATTCAATGACTAATTTTCGTCCGCAACTATCGTAAAATCGATCAATTGAACTAATAATAATTAAATAATATATTTTAACAGGGTTAAATATATTTATAGTTTTATAATAATTAAAACAAGTATCACGTTTTAGTTTATAATTAAAATAAAATGGTTAGAAATAGTTTTTATCGTTATTCTCTTTTCATTAATGGTTGATGTAATTAACAAAACTTCAAGTTATTATATTATTTAAAAATTAAATTTTTTTTAATCCAGATAAAACTATCAAAAATTACTTTAGGTTCTTATAAAAAAATTATTTTAATATTTCTGTAGAAGTTATGAATTTTACTAAATTTTATTTATAAGCATAAAAGTAACTTCATTCGACTTAAGTTAAACATGTCTTTCTCCTATCTTATCATTTATTCAAACTTTCATCATCTTCCTCTAAATTATAAATACAACCAATGTATTTTGCTTCTATGCTTAAAACTAAGTTCTAAGGTTAATCTTTCCTCTATATTGTCAACAATATTGTGCAAGTATTGATACTACAGTGTGTATACGGTTTGAGTTTGAATTGTGTCATTTTTGCTAAAGAAGCCACACAAAACGATGATAAAGCGAATGAGTACGAAGTTGAGAGAGTCTCAATTATTCTTAACAATGTGAGATCTAAGGATGTTGGAATATGAAAACAAGTGTAATTACAAAAAAAAAAAAATACAAAGAGAAAAAGTTGAGTAACAGAGAGTAAGAATGCAAACATGGCAGTGGTTGTTGTGGTGGTAGAGATTGTTATTGAGCTGAAAACAGAGATATTGTCCACGTGTTTCCTTCTCATTATTTATTTCATTAAGTATTAACAAAGTCCAGCAAGGGATGTACAAAAAACATGGAGAGACAATGATGTTATCAAAAATCATAGTAAGAGTAGTGGAGGGGCTAATTTAGTAGAAAATTTGCTTTTTTATTACTTTATTCTATTGCACTTAATATTTAAAATAAGAGTATATGGCACACCGTGTTAAATAAAACCTTGAAGTAGAGTTATCTTTTAAACACCGTTTGTTCTTCCAAAAGCTTAATATTATGTGCAACTACATACAAAAGAATAAATAAAAATGAGAAAAATAGATTATATACATGTCAAACTAAATGGAAATATTCTAATCAAATGAAGTATATGCTTCACTATATCTCCTGAATATAATTTGATAGCTTCTAACTTCACAAGTAGATATTAAAATAATTTTTTTAATGGACCAAAAGTGAATTTTAATAATTTTGTAAGAACTTAAAACAAATTTAACTTTCTGAATAGTATGATCAAGTGGAGTTTTGTTAGTCACATTAACGATTAACAAAAACTGAGTAACAGTAGGGACTAAATTTGACCATTTTACTTAATTAAGGATTGAAACATTAAAAAAAAGTATAGGATTAAAAATTGATTTTACAAGAACTAAAAATATATATAATCATTTTTAAAATTATATATTATGTTTAAAAAAAGTATGGTTAAATTGCATTTTTTTTGTCCTTATATTTTAATGTATGTGAGATTTTGGTCCTCTTTAGTCCCTTTAGTTTTTTAAATACTCAAATTAAGTCATCCACCCTAAAATTAAGATTTTTATTATATTTTACACATTTTATATAAGTTATTTAAATATTTAATATAACACTATTTATTTATTTATATATAAATAAATAAAATGTCATACTTTCATTATATTTTTATTAATTATTTAATAAAATTTAGGATACAAGACTTAATTCTAGCATTTGAAAATTTTGAGGAACTAAATATAAATAATTAAAACTAGAAAAACTAAAATCACATATATTTTAAAGTATAAGAACAAAAAATACAATATAGATAAAAAAAATATTGGGTCATAATATTTAAAAAAATTTGAAATTATATATGTGCCCATGCATATGCACAGGATAAGAGATTAAATTGTTTCAACAGTATACAAATTCTCTGTTATTATCCTGTATCCTTCTATTGAAACGATCTTTTATTTTATACACTTTAATTTTATTTTATTTTTACGGTAAAGAATGTACAACTTTGCAATCTTCACCACAGAAGAAACTAAAGCGTTTAAATATTGATGTTATTTGGTTTTGTGCAAATGTGAAATTATTCGGTTTTGAAATAAATATTTGATTTCTCCTATATCCATCAATCCATGGCAGATTCCAGTCAATAAAATTTTAATCGTTAAACAATTAAAAATTATATATGCTCCAACTATTTCAACCTACGACTCCTCGTACTCACAAAAACAAAAAGACATATATAATCATTTACAAGTTACCCTTTAGTGACATATGGCAGATGTTAATTATTGATGTTGTGGGAGTTCCTACATTTCGATTGATTTCTATGTAGTTTTTCCTTATTTGAGGCTTAAGTCTCATGCAATCATAAAAACACCTAAAAATTATTAACTTCCATCTTATAACTTTTTCTTTCTATAAAATGAGAATTCAGAATGTGGGCCTTCCTCTCATGTCACATTAAGAGACAGTCACTGTTAGGCATCAAATTTGGCGGATAGCAAATAAACAATAAATCTTCAAAGTAATTTTGTTAAACATATTAAATTAAAATCATAACACCTGAAATTAAACATACTATCACTTGCTCACTTAAAATACAAATTCTCTTTAACGCATTTTATAAAATTTAATCATAACAGTAAATTATAATAGCACATCCAGATATTAAAAAGACTGTTAAAAACATTAACTGCGATTTAAATTTGTAATAATATCAATTCTTTTTATTGTCCAACATTATGAATTCTTTTGCATTTTAAATCGAAAAACAGCGAAAAAAAAAGCCTTTAGACAAGGGTGATCCTAAAATCAATTCCCAATAAACACGCACACGCCCATACAATCGAAACAATGAAAACGAACGAGAAGAGAACACGATAAGACCATGAGATCATTTTCCTTTAAAAGAAAAACAATGGAATAAGAAGTGTCATAAAACCAAGCATCATTTTGTTTGACTTTTTTATTTTGTTTCAGACATGGGAACGAACACAAGATAAAACCATGACAAATCACCGTTGCCAAGCGAAAGTTCTAGATCACATTTCGATAAACAATTCGAAATTGCAATAATCATCACTATTTCTTAAACTTCGACAAAAGGAATGGCCTTCAGTGCCACAAATATCTCCTTTTAACCACTAGTACTCCTAGTGGTCCTTCGTTTCAAATAGCCCATCAGGTCCTGTTTATCATAAAAAACCATGTCATAAAACCTAGAATCTCAGGCCAACAAAATAATACAAAGATGAAGGCAGATACACTATCTTTAGATTACTAGCAGCAGCCCTTGGCAATGCAAAATACACAGAAGAAAAGCATAAACACCCACTACAAGACTATATAAAAACAATCAAGTTTTATCTCACTACATAAAGTCATCTACATGAATCACTCACTACATAAAGTCAATACATGAATCACACGTCACTAAACTCAGTCAAAAATCATTCTCAAAAATATTTATTGCTACATATTTTTTAATAATTTCTTTAAAAAAATTTCTAGGTTTCTCTTTACCCCTGTTTACCGAATTAAAAGTCATGTTATCTACTTCTGTCAGCTGGTGCCTCCAATGGTCTTTTCTGCATGTGATCAAATTATCTTAAGCAATTATCTATCATCTTTTTCGCTACAAGTACTACTCTAATATTTTTACAAATACAATCATTCTTTATTTTATATTTTCTCGTATAATTACTCATTTATTCTTTTAAGGTCCACATTCACTGCAAGACTATAATGATAATAAAATGGGATAGATACATATTTAGACAAAACTACTGAAAATAACGAGTGACTGATATATTTTCATAGGATGCAAGAGCAACTCCAATTGGGGATGCCTTGAACAACTTTAATAAGCAAGCAACATTTGCATCAAAAGTTGTACAGTTGGAGGATTTCAAGTGGCAACCAATAAAAGAATACTATTCGTGAGCTTATCTAATGAAAAAAGGTTAAAAGATTTAAATAAATAAATAAAAAAGTAGTGCGGAAGAGTGAAACTGTGTGGTGAATGTGAAGTTGTGGGATCCTAAAAATATTGATACTCCATTTTTCATCCCATATCAATATCAAATACATATTCGACACAGATACGCTTCAATACCTCATCAATACATATCCATTATCCAAGCAGTGTTGAAAAACCACTTCAAAAAAAGAAATAAATATTGATATTTCTTTGACACACTTTGATACTTGACCATTGAAGCTCTGATACATTTATGTGATACACAATCAAATCACTTTTCATCTTTTTTGTGAAAATCACTCTTATTAACTGTAACAAATGAGTGACAAAACCATAATCATTGGGAGTTAGGACTCTTGCTAGGACACTTCAAAACAGAGAATCACAAATATACATCAGAAAGAGCCCACACATAATAACATATGAATAAATTAACAGCCACATGCTACCCAACTATTAGAAACAACCCCAGCATACTAATCAACAAGAGAAGTTTTCCCTTCACTCCATAAAGTAAAATATACTCATACAAACAGCTGCATCATTATAAACAAACCTAAAGACTATTACTACGACTCTGAGATTTTCCAACCACTTAAAGAACTAGAAAAAATCCAAGCAATCCAAATAATTCAGTGCAATGACATTTGGGAAACTTCTTCTAGGGAAAGCAATATAGATCAAAGCATGAAATTAAAGACATACCCCATGGGAATTCCTTGTTGCGGATATGCAAATATGGGTATGCCTGCATAGAAAAGTAAACAATTTAAATTTTGTTTACAAATACACACACATATAACATGAAGATTTGTGAAAACTGACAAGTAACCAGCAGGTATCTCGAAATATCACAAACTTAGGCTTAGCTACAGTAATTCACTGTAGGTGTTGTGGATAAAAGGTCTCCATCTTATCAAGAACATAAATGATAGAGCAACTCCAAAGTTCTAATCTATTTTGAGTTTTTTAGGTACATGCAATCCCCTCTTGCTTTATCTGTATTCTATTGTCCAAAATATAGGACACACACACACATGCACACCCACATATTACAGGTATATATGTATGTATGACAGTAGAGAGACTGAGAGAAACACAAATGGTGTTAAATATAAACAACATAACAAAATATCTAAATTGATAATCAAAATTTGTATATTCTTGTATATTCACCATCTTCTTATGATAACGAGTCTCACACAAAATAGTAAGAGGCATTATTTTTTTATATTTTAGATTATAATTTTGCAGACTATTCTTAAAGTTGCAAAAAATTATCTTTTTTGTAATACTTGTGTTCTTGAAGTATCCATCCATAAAAAGGTGTTGGCTGCAGTGTCTAAGTCATATAGAGGCATTGGGTCAAGTGTCTGAACCACAAAAAAAAAAAATAAAAAAATCATTGTTTTTATTTAGAAAGTGAGAAGTGTGCAACATGTATCGCATCAGTGTCAGGGTTAGAAACATGTCCAACACCTCAAGTAAGAGAAGGGTCTGTGCTTTATAGGTTTTAGAGAATCTTGGGTGAGCACCCTCTAAAAATTGGAGCAGTATCTCTTGATTACATTTAGAAGTCTTGGCAAGAACGAGAATGAGTGAAAAGTTATATGACAGTGTTCTTTATATGCTGTCATTTGTTGTCTGGGACTGAATCACAAGATTTGAATATTTCAGAGGAAATTACTAACCTATGAAGAAGATAGAAGAGCTATAGTCCAAAATTGTTTTTATTTTCTATGGTGTTGCCACTTGCCACTACGTGCACAGGTATCATTTAGTTTTTTCTTTTGTTTAGTGCTATCTTTTTCCCTCTAACTGTAATCTTTTATTGCCTCTAGTTCTAATATGTTTTTATTATACGAAAACAAGAAAAAATACAAAACCAAAAAATTAAACAAACTAACTATAATAGAACAAACAGTGGTGGTAGAAGAAAAGACAAATTGAATACACAACTACAATCATAAATAAATGCAGATGTGTAGAAACTAAAGCTCACAGGAGGTTCTTCATGGTGCGGGTGGCCCTTTGATAGATTATAAATGGCTAAAATAGTGCATGAAGCAATGCCTAAATACGTAATTTTCTCCCATTTGGCCGTCTCATCTGGAAAACAAAAAGAGAAAAGAAATAATTTAAAAGAATAGAACATTAAAATAGAAATCTTGCAACGAACAATACAAGTGAGCTTGAGAAAATTCTATCAATGTCAGTCAATTTTAACGGTGGAACAGAAGCTAGATGAAATTCTGAACAGAAAAGTCAATATTTAAAAGAAAATGTATTATAGCTAAAATCTGAGTCTTCTACGATGATGAAGTGAGACATAAAACTACATTGCTTAGCTTATTTAATCTGAATAAAAAGGTGTTGATATAAACCAATGCAAATGTAAATCCGTTGACGTAAAATTCAGCAATTTAAACACAACTTCATTACCGGATTCAAAACAATGATTTGAAATCGAAATGATTAAAAAATCTGATAAATTAACCATTCAGGCACACGCCGAAGCCAAATCGATGCCCAAATCCATTTCAACATAGGAAAACTACGAACGCAAACAGTTCAAATAAAAAATTTTAATCATAAATCAGAGGGAAACAGACCAATCTCATAAATCCACAAACCATTTCCCAAACCAATGCATAAAAACGCAACCAAAAATTGACCTAACAAACGACAGAATCCCGCGAAAAACCATACAGATTCGCGAACCAAACTAATGCAGGAGAGCTAAACATCAAACCCTTAAAATAGGGTTAGATGAGAGAGAGAGAGAGAGGGATACAGACATGCATCGTCGTGGTGAGCGGAGGAGGCAAAGTTGCGCTTTGGAACGTGGGAGCCACGAGCGCCGCCTCGTAGGGCGGTTCGAAGAAAAAAAGATCGGACCAGTGACGTCGCCATTGCTCGCCTCTTGACTCTTCTCTCTGTTTTCTGTATTCGCTTTGGGAGGGGTTAGGAACAATAGATGTCTGCATATACCCCTGCAAACTTCTTATAATAGAGTTGCACAATGCCACGTGCCGAGGAATTCCCCCAAAATCGGTTTTTTTTTTTTTTAAGTATTTTTATTTTTATAAATATAATTTAATTTAATTTTAAAAAACTAGTAAATCTTTTTGTAAACGGTACGTGTTATTAAATTAAAATAATTTTTAAAAAAATTAAAATATATATATATAACTATTTTTAATTTTTTTAAATAAATATTTTATTATATTAAATGTTTTTTCTATTAGCACGTAATAAGAAATTAATTAATAAATCGATATTATCAACGTATTAATTTTTTATTATACATAAATTTTTATTAAATAACATTATACATATATTAAAAAATATATTAAATAAGATTAAAAATTAAGTATATATTTTAAATATTAAATATTAAATGATAAAAAAATCATTTTAAATTAAGAATGAATTTTAAAAATAAATATTTAATAAAAGAAAGTCACTTGTCATAATTGAAAAATAATCAAACTTATAAAATCGTTCTCATTTAAAAGAAACTGTTATAAACACCCTTATCTAAGAAATAACATCCGATATACATAGATTATTAATTTTAATTCCGATAAATTTTAAAATTTTTAATGCGTTAAAAATATATTTGTGTCTTTTAAGTGTAAGTAAAGCTTTAATTTGATCTTGTAATTTTTTAAAATTTAATTTAAGTTTTACTTCAATACTTTACATAATTTAGATTTGTTTTAATCTTCTAACTTATTTTTAAAAAGTAAATAGGGTCTTAAACTTTATTTCATATTTTAATTTAACTCAAATTTTAAAAATAATAATATTTGAAACAATGATTTTTTCTTAGTTCATAGGTTTTATACATTTTATTGATAAGTGTCGCTTAAAACTTCTTACCAATCACTAAAAATATTTTTAACCATACATTATTTTTTACTAATTATTCATTCTTATTTTTCTTTTATTATAAATACCTACGCTAAACATCAAAACATCCTTGATGTTAGTAAAAATTAAAAGATAAATAAAGTAAAAAAAAAATTAGCATAAAATATAATTTAAAAAATTAAATTGAATTAAAAAATATATAAAATATTTCTTTCATATATAATCTCATAAACAAATTCAAACACTCATAAATATATAACTCCATAACAAACATTTTTTTTATATTTTAAAAAATATATTATATTTTAAATTAAATTATGTTAATAAATTATTAAATAATTTTAAAAAGGTTATAAAATCTTATATACTTTAACTAATTATTGCAAACTGCTAAAATAATGATTAGATTAATAAAATTTCTTATTTTTAAAAAATATTAAATAGAGTAAGTTAATGATTAAGTGAATCCCTTTCCAGTTATATCCTACGTTATTCATGAAATAAGATGAGTTTCTTAAGTGTGTATTTTGATTAAAAAAACAAAAAAAAAATTATAATAACACTATTTGTGTTTCGGTACTTTAAAATTTCAAACATGATCACGGCAAATAAATATTATTTGGATGATATAATTTATATTCCCTTTTGAACATGTTATTTGGAAACGATAAGAATATTGAAATTATCACTATAATGTAAATTTGAGTTTAATTTTGATGGAGTAAAAAATTTATACAGTTAACTAATTAGAATACACACTAAATATGAATTTTATATTCAATATAATTAAATTTATTTATTTATATGATAATTTATAATTAAATGACAATATAAACAAATTTTACTCTATTAACGTATTTTAATTAAATTTTATAAATGTTATCTTTATTATTAAACTAAAATATGTTTAAGAAATAGCTTTTATGATGTAATATAATTTGTATGATATTAAACACATTTAATGCTTATATTATTAAAGGTATAAAAATTTATTTTCTTGTTTTGTTTTATTTTATTCTATTAAACATAAAACTTTTAGGAAAAAAGCTTAGGTGATTTTCTTGCTCGTCTTTTATGAAATGTTTTAAAAAGTGGCATTAAAAATGATAATTGCACTCCCGTTTCAATGTTGGAAAGTAAATAATATGTTCGCTGATCTTTATGTTTAAGTTCATTTTAGAAAATGCTTAATATACAGTCATGAGATGCATAAAATGAAAATTAGACAAAATTAATAAAAGATATAAAATTATTATATAAGTACATAAATTTCAGAATCCTTTTTCACTTGTTTTTTTATATAATATAAACACATTTTAACGACTATTTTGTTCATTACATCATACTTTTCTTTTTTCTCTATTTATAATATATTATTTATTTATAATATATAATCAAATATTTATTTATACTATGATAAATTTTTTACTATAAAATAATAATAATGATATTATATTATAAAACTGATTTACAACTTTAATCACAATTATAGTGTTTATCCATGTATAATTAAAATAAAAGATAATTATGTGTTTTTTATATATTATCAATATAATTTTTTTTTACGTTATCAAGTAATTAAAATAATTACAAAAATTAATAATTTTTATTAATATAGTAATATATGATTAATAATATAAAAATATTTGTTATTAATATATTTTTATTATATTTATAATTTATTAGTTTATGATATTTTAAAATAATTACCAATATTATGAATTTGTATTATAAATTAATTACTAACTATTGGAAATAATTTATCAATGCGCTCTTTAAATCTAGTTTATAAAATTCTGAAGTTCTAAGAATCGTTCCAAATAAACAGCACAAAAATTTCTGAGATAAGAAAAAATCGTTTCTTTTAAAATATAAATTTTACCAAGCGAATTCTAAAAAATGTTCAGCATTAACGTTACTTCGCAGAAAAGCTACAAAAGCAATACAAAGCCACGGTCCCGTCATTGAAGTTATTTGGTACTGGAAAGGACAAGTAACCATACCAAGACATTACCGAACTGAGCACAAAAGAAACAGAGGGTGGAAACTTCTTGTAATCAGTAATCGTCTCCCTCTTCGCCATCTTCACCTTCAGTAGCCTCTGCACCGACTTCTTCGTAATCCTTTTCCAAGGCAGCAAGATCTTCACGAGCCTCAGAGAACTCACCCTCTTCCATCCCCTCACCAACATACCAGTGAACAAACGCCCTCTTGGCATACATAAGGTCAAATTTATGGTCAATGCGAGAGAAGACCTCAGCAACGCTGGTGGAGTTGGAGATCATGCACACAGCCCTCTGCACCTTGGCAAGATCGCCTCCTGGAACAACAGTTGGAGGCTGATAATTGATTCCGCACTTGAATCCAGTGGGGCACCAATCAACAAATTGGATAGTGCGCTTGGTCTTAATAGTTGCCACTGCTGCATTAACATCTTTAGGCACCACATCACCTCTGTACATCAAACAGCAAGCCATATATTTGCCATGACGAGGATCACACTTGGCCATCATAGAGGATGGCTCAAATGCACTGTTGGTGATTTCAGCAACTGATAGTTGCTCATGATAAGCCTTCTCAGCTGAAATCACAGGAGCATAAGATGAAAGCATGAAGTGAATCCTGGGATATGGCACCAGGTTAGTCTGGAATTCAGTAACATCAACATTCAAGGCACCATCAAACCTCAAGGAAGCAGTTAGTGACGATATAACCTGAATACACCAACAGAAAGTTAAAGGGGCATAACACAAGCATTCAAGCAAAACTGTCTTCAAACATTTTATTGATAGTTACAACAATGACAATACCTGAGAAACTAAACGATTAAGGTTAGTGTAGGTTGGTCGCTCAATGTCAAGGGAACGCCTGCAAATGTCATAAATAGCTTCATTGTCAAGCAGGACAGCTACATCAGTGTGTTCCAAAAGGGAATGAGTGGAGAGAACACTATTGTAAGGCTCAACAACAGAGGTCGAAACTTGAGGTGAAGGATAGACAGTGAAACCAAGCTTGGACTTCTTGCCATAGTCCACAGAAAGGCGTTCTAGCAGAAGGGAACCAAGACCAGAGCCAGTACCCCCACCGACAGCATTGAAAACCAGAAAACCTTGGAGACCGGTGCAGTTATCCGCCAGCTTTCTGATGCGGTCCAAGCAAAGATCAACAATCTCTTTTCCAACTGAATTAGAAAGCATCATTTTCAGAAACTGACATTCAATAGAGTAAAATTGCATAAACTTGTTATAGTTGAAGAAAAAGGGAAACAGCAGCATTACTGGTATAGTGGCCACGAGCAAAGTTGTTTGCTGCATCCTCCTTTCCGCTGATGAGCTGCTCAGGGTGGAATAGTTGGCGGTATGTACCAGTCCTAACTTCATCAATGACAGTGGGCTCGAGATCTACAAAAACTGCACGAGGCACGTGCTTACCAGCTCCAGTTTCACTGAAGAAGGTGTTGAAAGCATCGTCACCTCCACCAACTGTCTTATCACTTGGCATCTGCCCATCAGGCTGAAACAACACATACAAGAAAGCTTAGATGAAAGGCACGTGTAAGAAAAACAGGAAGAGGGCGACTAAATTTGGTTAAGAAACTGTCCTTTTTTTCTTCTAAAAAAGCGAGTGAGCGTGTTCAAAGAGATTGTTAGACAATTAGTGTCAATAGTTTTCCTTTACCAAAATAAATTCAGATTTTCAAAATTATTACTAAATAATTGAAACTACTACCAGAGTTGAATCCCGACTGCAAAAACTAATCTAAACAGGGTTTAAATAAGTTATTAGCCAACGATAGTCTCATTTTCTTTATTTTTTAGAATCAACACTGATACTTTAGGGGATTAGCTACTTATTTTTTAAGCCTTTAAACAAACAAGGCATTGTTTTCAAATTTACGTTCGAAACCACTGAAGCAATACAGAACAAACAACGAGTTGCTGTCAAATCTACATTCCAAATCACTCTAGTAATACAGAACCAAATGCGAATATTTGAATAAAACATAGCGTACACGTAGATCTGCAAATAATTCAAGCAACTAAGATCTAAACGAAAATCGCATAAAACACATAGTACTCGCAGATCTATAAATCGCGGAAGCAATGCAAAAGAAAACGCAAATGCAGGCATACGACACGACGTATACGCAGTAAGAGAGGTAAATAACAGCGCAAATCGGTGAAGATTAAAGCAAATAAACAATGCGAACAGGAAAATGAAATGGAATCGGCGAAATGTAGTTGAAAATAGAAGAAAAGAGAAGGAGCAGATTCGTACCTGAATGCCGTGCTCGAGGCAATAAAGCTCCCAGCAAGCGTTTCCGACTTGAATGCCGGCTTGACCGATGTGGATCGAAATGCACTCTCTCATTTGCTTCGCTGAAGAAGAAGAACGAAATGGAAGGATAGAAAGAAGGAGATGAAGGGAACGAAGGGATTCAGAGAAGAGCGTTTATTAAGACGCCTCTCTGGTTGGTGCTGTTGGGTTGTGACGAGAGTGTTGAGTTGGTTTGGTTTCGTTTGTTTATATGTGAGGGTTTAATTGCTGTTAGTTATTTGTTTTGGTTTATGCCAGCGGTGTGCATTGCTATTTACCGTTCAAATTTTAAACTTATTCATTTCTGCACCTTTCCCGAGGACCTTCTTCAGTTCTTTGTGCTAACGTACCACGAGCGGTTACGTCTTATCTTTTTAATTTATTTTATTGTATTTATTATAGTGTCGTAAAATTTAAGAGAGAGTTTTAGCTCTTTTTAGAGGCTCCAATACATAGAAATAGTTTATATATTACCGTGAGATCCTCAGACATGAATAAATATAAGATCTCAAAAAAAAATAAAAATGTAACATTGTTAAGTCAATATATGTTTAAAAAATATCGTAGGGATTTAACAATCTTGTATAATATAAAATTTTTAAAGTTTTATTAATTATTGTTTTAAGATAATTATGAAAAATAATTGTTTTTTTATTTTATCTATTTTATACTAAAAAACAGCAACTAAAAATATTATATTGTTGATACATTATTTTTCAAAAAAAAAAAACATTCACGTGATTACTCTTTTAAAATAATATTTAACTTTCATTATTCAAGTAAAAGTAACTCTTTCAAAATAATACGAGATTGTTTGTTGATCAATGGCTTCATTTTTGTAAAGAAATATTATTGAGATTTAGTTTTTGAAAAATTTCTCACCCACATTTGAACCTGAAATATAAATTTATTGTTCAACAATCATGCACAAAGCAGGAAAACTAGTGGTTGATGGATTTCATAAACTATGTATTGCTTTCCTTACCCTTTGATTCAGCATTAGTTGCAGAGAAAAGCTTTCTTGACCTTTAATGAAGCCTTTTGGCTTCTCATTATCATAATTAATTTGCCATTACAGAATTTGACGACCAATGAGGGGAATTGTTCAAAATGACTTTTCATTATTTAAATATCAATTGATGAAAGAGTAAATTAACAAAAATTTATCTTTAATTTAAGCAGAAAAATATTATCTTAAAACAATTCAAACTACGTTACATTCAAAGTATGATATTAAACATCTTAAAGTATATATGTATTGCAAAATATCTCACTCTATATATACATAGCATACACAATTTACAGAGGAGTATATATGGTACATAAAACTAGTTTTTTTTTTCTGGTCTAAAACATAACGCTAGATGATGGGCCTTTATTGTTGGAGCAAGATGTGGGCCTTTTTTCAAAGCCTTGCTTTAACCTTTTTTTCTTTATATTTTTGGTCAAGAAACTTTCTTTCTGTTCGATTCATGGCCTTTATTTCTTAGTCAAACTCATGGCCTCTCAAATATAAAGAGTTTGAATAGGCCTCATTGTACAGTCCAGCTTAGGGTTTTAATTGATTCCCGTCTCTAAATACCCAACTCAAGCTATGACCAAAAATTTGCCAAAAAACAAGAAAATACCTATGATAAAAAAAAGCTGAGAAAAACCCAACTTAAGCCATATATTCTAACCGAAATCTAAACATGATCTATTTATATCAATCTCAAAAACTCATGCAAAAACTTGCACAGAATCAGAATTTAGTAAAAGATAACCAAAATAATAGTAAAACATTTCTTTAATATTTGTATAAATATTTGAAAATAGAAAAAGAAATGACATTTTTATAATTAAAATAAAATAAAATAAAAACATTTTCTTAAAATAAACACCCCTTTAATTATATTTTTGTTTGTCTCAATTTTTAAATATATCACATTTTAATTTTCTAAAGTCTACCTGAATCATTCAGCCATGATGAATAATACGTTGGGTCTAGTATTTGTTATTAAAGCTGGGCTTTCCTTTCCTATCGCAAAGTTTAGTGTGCTATAGTCAAAGGCCTTTGCTTGACCAGCAAAAAATGTCCTTTGAAGATATCTCAGCCTCAGTGAGTATAGTAAATGACATATAATAGAAATTGATTTGGACCGATACAATAAGATAATCAATAATATTAGTTAGACTCAAAAAAATAAACAATAACTTTTTCTAAATTATCACTTATACCAAGTGGTTAAATATAAATTGTAACCTCTTAAGTGGTTAATCTTTGCATCTATGTATATAAAATATTATAAATAAGAAAAAAAATAATAACATTAAAGAAACTCAAACATAATCTAAACTAAATACAAAATATTCAAAAATATTCAGTGTTTCTAACACAAACACATGATCGTTAAAGTTCAAAATTTAGAAATCTAATTTATAATATTTAAAATACTTTGATAATAATAATAATAATAATAATAATAGAAATTATAATCATTTTTATTTGGTTCATCATTTTCTTCATTATTTAAATTGTCCACATTAGAAGTGTAACCAACATTTTCTTGATTTTAACAATGGTCTAAATTTATGTCCTTATCCTCATTTCTCATCTTTCAAATTGTCTTTTAAACTTAAATCTTTATAGTTTCCTCCATTATTATTTTTCATAACTTATTTATTATTATCAGATGGAATATCATTCCCTCTGCTATCTTTTCTCTTTTTATCAATTTCGAATTAGCCATAACAAATACAACATCATTCATTATATTTTGTTTAAAATGATTTCTTCTTTTAATATGCACCTTAACAAATAAAAATATTAATAAGTTACAATTTAAGATTAAAAAATAGTTGGCTATTATATAATTTTAAAAAAAGAATTTTTACTTGCCATTGTAAAAGCACTTTAATTATATTTATATCTAAGAGAAACTCCATATTAAAACTTAGTATTTGAATAGTAAATTTTGAAATTCAAAAAGCTCGTTGTCATGACACCCACGAATTTGTTGGTAGATGCATGTTAATAGTATTTCTAGCCAAATAACTATCAAAACTACTAACTCACTTTTTAAATGAATCAAGTTGAACATTGGTGCTATATGAATTTGTCAAAAAATTCAACTAGCCAAATATTATCCCAAGCTCATTTGTGTTAAGACTAAAAAGTAATGAGTCAAAAAAACTCAATAAATCAAAAGCCTTATGAGTCAAAAAAAGTCACACAACCAAAGTTAGGGTCAGGGTCTTATGGGTTTAATGAATTATAATTTTATTAGTGAAATTATCTTAATAGCTAGTGTACAAGTCATAATGCATACAATACAATAAATTATAGCTTAGAATAATTATTATAAAAGTATTAATAGAAAAAAAATAATGCATAAAATTTGGAAACTCATAGAAAGTCATTAAAAAATTAAATTATGAGTTAAACAAAATTATAATTATATAAAAATAAGATCTCTTAAGCAAGAGGCAAGATTTACACAGACTTTTTGAGTGCCTAAATGTTTTGATTATGTTCCTTGAATATTGGATATGTCTCAACACAAATAAAGATGAGTCTCTAAAAGAATATTTAAATTATTGATCATTAACATTATTTAATATTAAAATATCTATAAAAAATCTGTGAAACTCAATTACTTATCATCAAAATATAAAATAGGTAAAGAAGCCAAATAATACTTTACAAAATTTACACATATTTTGAAACTAAATAATTTGATCAATAATGATCTATAATAAATTTGTTGAGAGCTAACACAAAGTTTGTTAACATTGTTTATGTTAGGAAAAAAAGACAAAAACATCAAATGAGAAGAAAAAATGGATAATCTAAGAATTAAAATGTATATTGCTCAATTTATAATAGATTTATTTAAACTACACATGAACAAAGCTTTGAACTAGTAATACAATCTCTTAGAGGAGCGATCTTAACTTTAGAACAGGTAAAGACAACCAACAAAGTAGTACCATTTACATAATTAAATATATTAATATAAATAAATTTTATTATTAGTCTTCAACATCTTGTTGCATATTAGACTTTAGTATTTTTGTCTCAAGATGAAATGTTTATTTGTCATCTTTATATAATACTCTAAAACAATAAAAATAAAATTAAACAAGGTTGTATTTGTACAAATTTAATAAAAATAAATTATTATTATAATAAATATTATCGCTTATATTTTCAACAAAATCATACAACAAATTCCTAGTACAAATTAATATTTGTGTATTTTCTAGAAGTGTATAGCTTTAATATTTAGTAAATCCATGTCCACCAATGCTAAAAGTGTATTTCAATGCAACTGTAGTGATTGAAATATGAAACACATCTCATGTTAATATAGAGAGTGTCGAGAATTTCTTTTTATTATTCTTTCAATAATGAAACACGTCAACGTCCTTAGCATTATCATAATCAACTTATGACTCATCCAAATATAAATCAAATTCACTCTTACCAATAATGTACTTAGTTTCATTTTGAAATATTTTAAACATATGCAAAATATAACATAACCATTCAAACAAAATATAAATGAATAAAAGTAATAAACATATCATGCTTAAAATAGCATAAAAGAACAAACATTAAAAAAAGTTGATTTCTTTGATCTAGTTCCCTTTCCATGTGACTTTGACAACAAATTGAATTTATTGGAAGAAGATTGAGAGTCACTTATAGTATTGGAATTGTTTGCATATTCTCTATAAAGGTTGAAAAATTAAAGGATTAAGCTTGGTGTAACAAAATTTTAAGAAGTCAAATTTTAAATGAGGGTTAAGAATAACTCCAAATGCTAATACCACACTATAATTATTTTAATATTTTTTAAATTTTTTTTTCATTCTTGTAGCCATATCTTTTTTAACATCTTCTTTGACAATTAAATTGAGTATATAAGCTAAACAACACACATCAATGTTTTTTAAGATGGTTCTACCTTTTGTAATTGTCTCTATGAATTAATACCTCCTTTTCAAAGTTCTCCTACATCAAATTAATGCAATGTGCCGCATAAGGGATTCAATACAAGTGTTTTTTTTTTTTGCATCAACATCTCCTTTGTAGCTTTGTGATTTGTTGCATTCTTAGTCATAACTTGAATCACATTTTTCTCACCAATCTCTTTAACATCATCAAACAT